GTATAAACATTTCCTTCCGGGTCCCAAACAGAGATCTAAATGAAAAATGGTATCATGACATTTTCCACTGTGTAGTTTTTGAAAAAAAATCGCATAGTCTATTGGAATCTTTTCCAATCAATCCGAGGGCTCCAACTACAACTCATGTCCTCATGTGCCACATTTTTGTTATTTCGATTTCAAGGTCCTTGTATTTTAAAAGTTTTTTGAAAATCTTTAAAGATACATTGTCGCCTTTTCCCACTTTATTCTTTCTTTCTTCTTCAATCTCTCTTTCTTTTTCTTTTCATCTCTTTCTTTTGTTCTTTGTCTCTCTGTCGCAAAGTGCGCTTAATAATAAGGTCTGTACTCTTATTCTAGATATTAGCTTGGTAATTGTGTGCAAGCGACGACCTCTGGTCGTGTGCGGCAAGAATAAACCCTTCAGTATCACCATTAGGACCTGAACTTCGTAATGTGTGAACTGTATTCATAAGTATAATCTTTCAGTCAATCTGAGGGCTCCAACTACAACTGGAATTATTGATGTCCTCATGTGCCACATTTTTTTAAAGATTTCCACTTCAAGATCCTTGTATGTTGATAGTTTTTAAGATGTTCAAAGATACATTACAATGTGCAGGAAATGACATGCCAATGAGAAAGTATATTCTGGTCTTTGATCAAGTGTCTGGTCAATTAGCTTTCATTGTTTCTTTTGTGTATATTATATAACGTGTGACATTTAATTGCCTGAGTTGCGTGCAAGCGGGCTCTGGTCGTGTGCAGCGAGAATAAACCCTTCAGTATCACCCTTAGGACCAGAACTCCTTAGCCACTGGTTGGTTGCTAATTGATTCACACTATTATCTTTCCGTAGAAGGAACTGGCTATGTAGAGGTTTTTGACTATAGCTTTCTTCTATTTCATTTTGGCTTTGCTTTTTCGCTTCTTGTTTCAGTTTCCTTCATGATATTATTATTATAATTTTCTGTTGTATAAACATTTCCTTCCGGGTCCAAAACAGAGATCTAAGGTCAGAAATGCCTTCATGACATTTTCCACTGGACATTTTTAAAAAAAAACAACAAAGATCACACAATTTTTACATAGATAAAGCTCTTTGTAATGTGTGAGCTGTATTTGTGAGTACAATCTTTCAGTCAACCTGAGGGCTCCAACTGGAATTATTGATGTCCTCATGTGCCACATTCTTTAGATTCCCACTTCAAAATCCTTGCATTTTGATATTTTTTTTTTAAATTTTAATCTTTAAAAAGATCGTCAAAGATACATTACAATCTGCCGGAACTGATATGCCAATAAGAAAGTACATTCTGTTTTTTCGTGGTCTTTGATCACGTCTGGTAGATGTTATAGTGGAACACACCTATTCTATAGTTAATAGACTCTCCCATCTATAATAAGTAGAAGTAGTAAGAGTAACGAGTCAGTCGCGAAGTCGCTGAGGGAGTTGGTCAGTCAGTCGATGCCGGACGACAGTTAGTCGAATACTAATGTATCAGCGACCACAACTAGATTACTCTGCGTTATACCTATTATATCAAGTTCCTAACGTTTTGTACGTCGAACCTATTTTAGGACCGACTTAGTACAAATACAAGATTCCACTGGGAAACTACTCCATAACAGTAGATTAGCTTTGATTTTTCCTTCTGTGTATATTCTAAAATCGCATAAAAATGTGACAGGTCTTATCTCTGTAACCGGGTGGTATCCATACGCGTTTCTTGTAAATGTTGAATATTTTACCAAGGATATAGAACCCAGTCTCTCCTCATAGATGAGGGAGAAGTGTTGTATTCATAGTTTTGGATTCATAATCCAAGGTCATTAGCCCGTAAGTGAATGTAATAAACTCAAGTAGAATTTTAACTCGGCTCTCCGATTCGTCATTTATTAAGAAACAGGAAAATGTCGTTAGAAACAAAGAAAATAGTGCTAAACTGTTATATAATATCACTCCTCCTCTATCGCAGTGAATGCTGGACAATCTTCTCAGAGATGAAGAGAATACCTGAGGCAGTAGAAATGAAGTTCTACAAAAGAATGCTGAGAATAATAAGGGACTGAACATGAGAGTAACGAGAAAGTTGAAATCACCAGGACACATAATAGGGAAAGAGGGCTTGGAGAATTTGAAACTCACAGGGTATATTGGAAGCGAGAGGTAAACAGCGAGTAGCCTACCTAACGAACATGTGTACATGGATGGCAGAACAGGGAGTGGAAATAGCGATGAAAAGGCAAACGTTACAAAGGATAGGATGTGGTAGAGAGCCTTGTTCCCCAAAGTCCAGAAGAGGCACAGTATATAGATTATTATTATTATTATTATTATTATTATTCCATCTTAATCCGTCCTGGGTATGACGATAAACTACATCCGCGTGCTGGTTAAGACGATAAACTACATCCAACAGCAAGACTTCTGCTCAGGAGGTTTTAAGGGGCGTGGAACCACCTCTTAATTGCTGGTGTTCCCAGGTCCACCTTGACCCGGAGTTGTAGCAGCTATTAGGGTCCTAACTATAACTAGTTAAACACCCAAACTGGTGTCAAAACACTATGCATGTGTAAAAATAGTTTTTAATACCAGCAATACGTTTTGTAAAAAATTATTACCAGCAATGTTTTTTTTAACAAAAAAATTATTACCAACAATATATGTTTGAAAAAAAAAATATTACCAGCAACATATTTTTAAAAATGTATATATTTCCAGGAGTACATTTTTGGAAAAAAATATTACCAGCAATAAAAATCTTGTCGGCATTAAATAACCCATTGAGGTGTTGATATGCCGTAAAACAAACCAAACCAGACATTTTATTAATATTCAGTTTTCTTGGACAATCTTGAATTTTCATTCCCTCTCATCTTAACTTTCCTTCTCTTTCTTCTTTCCTTCTCATATTAATTTTTCCCCTCTTTCTTCTTCCCCTCTTATCTTAACTTTCCTCCTCTTTCTTCTTCCCCTCTTATCTTAACTTTTCCCCTCTTTCTTCTTCCCCGCTTATCTTAACTTTCCTCCTCTTTCTTATTCCCTTTGTTTTCGTAGACCCTTCCTTGCTTTCTTTAACATCGTTATATTTTACCGCCACCAGTACACTTTCTGCCTACGCATTTTTGGTATGACTTGATTTCTTAACATATCGGCACAGATTAGGAGATCAAACGTTCAAAATCAATTCCTTGAATTTATTTCCGGACGTTGATTGGGAAGTAAACCAAATGAGACTCCCCGTGAAATCAACGCCCTTCCATTAACTGGGTAAGTTCAATAAAACACTTCCGACTACCGGCAAGAATATGCGATTCTGACGCCCGACCGCCGACGTCGAACCTTCGATTCATGTTCAGAACGACGAAAGTGATGTAAATATTCGGCCTGAACCGGAGCCGGCGCCAAACAACTTACGGCAATTTTTCAATATCTTAGAAGAGTTGCGCGGCGCCGCGTGCGATCGAAGCTCTTCCGACCATGTTTAAACTGACAACTGCAATGAACAGGTGGGTGTATCCGACGCTTTCAAAATGAATGCTCCAACCTTTAATGGAGATTAAGGAATAAGCGTAAACTCAGCGTTCTTAACTATGATCTCGATCTATGCGTTTATTTTGCCTGTCCATCTGTCTTGCCCCTGCATTCAATTTAGGCAAGGTACTTTATATTTTCGTCTCGTCACAGATCAAGATGCGCAATTCCCGTTGTTCTCGTAAATATCCCAAGGAACATCACTATTTTGAAAGGTGCTGGTTAACAAGCCTCTATCGTTGACCATTACTGATGTAGAAAGTTCAATCCGCAGTGGCTGTAGTGAAAGTAGCCATCGGCATGTCCAAATTAAGTTCACAAAATGCATATCCACCTGCTGTGGTTGATTGATTCTGTTGAAGCAACATTGGGGTCCCTATTGTGGAAGTTCGATAAATCATTAGAATCTAAATATCTCCCACTGTCTACACATGCGTACACACACACACACACACATGTATATATATATATATATATATATATATATATATATATATATATATATATATATATACACTACAGTTCACGAGTTTGAGGTTTCTTCTGGTAATTTTTAAATTTGGTACAAAATGTATTTGATTTGTACATTAAATAAAGAGGAAAGCATTACACATGTTTAAACATGTGTAATGCTATTTGTCCCAATAAATCAACCGTTAGAAAAAAAAAACAAGTAAAGATAATCAATCCAAATAAATAAATGAAGTAATAAACAAGTTAAAAACTGCTCCCGCCAAAATAAACGTTAGAATAAATGACGGCAATCAACACCAAAATCGACTAAATAGGTTCATCTTCCGAAATCAAAACAAAACTATTAAATAAGCTATATAAACGAATTTTTACTGCGTTAATAAAACACTGATTAAAATAAAAATAAAAAATAAATATATAAGATAAGAAATAAAAATAAAAAATAAAAATAAATAAATAAACAAACTAACAAACCGCTCCCAATAAATTAACCGTTAGAAAAAAAAACAAGTAAAGATAATCAATCCAAATAAATAAATGAAGCAATAAACAACTTAAAAACTGCTCCCGCCAAAATAATCGTTAGAATAAATGACGACAATCAACACCATAATCGACTAAATAGTTTTATCTTCCGAAGAAAGATAAAGAAACAGCCTGTCGCCTCTAAGTTTTGACTTCAATGTTCACTTTCATATAAATTTTTTTTTATATATATATATATATATATATATATATATATATATATAAAAAGAAAAATCTAAGAATTCTATATAGGTTATAATTTATTTCATGAATATTTTATATTCATCTCTTCAGACCGAAAGTATTTTTTATGAATGGAATCAGTTCAGACTGACAGATATATCGGGATAAAAAGGAGAACTCAAAAAAGAGGAAGAGAAAAAGGGGAACGGAAAAAAGAAAAAAAATAATAAAAAAAAAGGACGAAAGAAAATAAAAAATAATTACAAATAAAAAAAATAATTTAAAGAAAGAAAGAAAGAAAGAAAGAAAGAAAGAAAGAGAGGGGAAGAGAGAGAAAAAAAGAAAGGACAGAAGAAACAATTGATGAGCCAACAGCAAAAATACATAAATAGAATGACCTAGATAAAAAAAAATTAATATACTGGGGAATAGAAGGATCAGAGCGATCGAAAGTAAAACAATTACAACAAATTGTTTAATAGAGTTACGTCATTTAAAACAGCAACTGTCTTCACATAGTCATAATTTTATAATAATAATTATAATTATAATAATGTTCTACATAAACAAAATAATATAATAAAATAATAAATAATATAATAATATAATAAAATAAAATAAATAAATCCATGTCCTGAGATACTTATCTCACACTCCCTCTAAAATGACAACCTTAAAAAAGGCCCTGATTCTCAAATCAACACCCAAGGACCATCCCACCACTACCCAATACCTCTAATCCATCCCCTGTCCAAATGCTCACCGGCACAGCTAAACAGTTCGAGAATTCTAAACGGCAAATAACTCCCTCACCTTAATCGACAGAAGCTACAAACAAAAAGAAAACCTCAGCCCATTTAAAACACATAAATAGAACTAATGATTTTAGATAATTATAAACAAAAAATTTAAAAAATAAAAGTAGATAAAGATAAAAATATTAAATATAATAGTATTAATAACAGTAAAATATAAATTAAAAAATAAAAATTTTAAATTATAAATGATGTAGGCATCAGCAATACAATTGCATAAATACTTAAATATATACACAGACCTATATATATGTATATATATAAATGTGTGACAAGCAATATAACTACATACACACGTATATATGAATACACGTACACCCATATGTTAGTACCCATATAAAAAATAAGAAGCAACACTTCAAGTGTATATCACCCAAAATCAATATTTTTAGGGAATGTAACATTTGCTTTTATGTCTACATTTGAAAATAAGTCCGTTTCTTTGATTTAGTAATTAGTCAGAATTTTTATATTTGATTATTATAATCTTCTCTTGTATGCATAGATCGCATCTGTCCCGGAAGTTATTGGGAGTTTGAGACTGATTAATGTTCTTCTTGGAATTATCTCTACCAATTACAAATTGGTATTGCTCACACACACACACACATATATATATATATATATATATATATATATATATATATATATATATATATACTACAGCATGTTATTATGGAGGCATGTGTCGTTAAAGACTACGGAATTTTTCCGTTTAATAATCTTTTTTTCTGTTTCTTCTCGCTTACTCGTATTTTTTTTTTATATTTGGGTCTAAGTTGTTGAAAAAAACCTAGTTCGTGGTGTTTTGCCGTGCGCATTCGGTTGTCATCAACCGTCATCACCATAAATAAAACAGCATTTAATACTGGCAGAAACATCTTAAATATATTTAATAATTAATACTCCAAATAATAAATACCAACCCTCTCCCAATTGCTAATGAACTAATCCAACAACACTTCCTAAATACGCAAAATATTATCTTTAAAATAAAATAATAAACACCTTAGACCCAAATATAAAAAAAAAATTGCGAGAAAGCAAGAAGAAAAGAAAAAAGATTATTAAACGGAAAAGTTCCGTAGTCTTTAACAACACATGCCTCAATATATATATATATATATATATATGTGTGTGTGTGTGTGTGTGTGTGTGTGTGTGTGTGTGCGCGTGTATGTCTGTGTCTGTGAGTGTGTATGTGATTGTGTTTAAAATTGACAACCGGAAAAAATTCTTAGTTCTTGCCGACACTTTTCGTCTTTCGATTTTATCAAGGTAAACAATGAAAGCGAAATGTTTCTGTTGTGATTTATTGCGCATGAAAACATACAACAATTGTGGCACAAGGCCTAAAAGGGGGAATAGGGTGAAGCTGGTCGCAACTATCATATACCTAACTACTCAGATGCATGACCCATTCACTCATTACAATTTGCACATCCACAACAAAAAACTCGTCCTTCATCATTCAATACGACATATACAATGCCGCACACAAACAGGCTACCTACAAAACACCCCATGACATAAAAATCATTTTGTTGCTATTGTTATATCAAATCCAAATTACGTGTATTTTTAATGCTTTTCAATATATCGGTATTTTTTTATATTTTATATTAAAATTCATAGTTCAAAGTTAGAACTAAAAATTTTTATTTGTCATTTTTAAACCAATTTGTCACTGTGCTATGTGGATAAAGGATTTAGATAGACCTAGTGACATGACCAAAAGAGTGTGAGTTCAATACCCGATTAAGGCAGGGGGGAACTTGGAGAGAGGAATTAACAGGAGATAACTGACATCCATTAAAGATGGCACGTGGAACTAGAACAGTCTAGCCCAGTGAGCGAAATAAAGGGTTAAGTTCGACATTCCAACTACCGGAAGGAGGCCGGAGCGTACAACAGCCGAAACGTTGTAATAAATATGACAACAAAAATGAGGACAATAGTCTGAATAATGTAAATAGTGTACATAATACCTCATCTCAGAAATATAGACAGATACTGAAAGGCCGAAACGTTGTAATAAATATGACAACAAAAATGAGGACAATAGTCTGAATAATGTAAATAGTGTACATAATACCTCATCTCAGAAATATAGACAGATACTGAAGAAGTCCGGAACGTACAAAGGCCGAAACGTTGTAATAAATATGGCGACAAAGATGTGGACAATAGACCGAATAATGTAAATAGTGTACATAATACCTCATCTCAGAAATATAGACAGATACTGAAGAAGTCCGGAACGTACAACGGCCGAAACGTTGTAATAAATATGGCGACAAAGATGGGGACAATAGACCGAATTATGTAAATAGTGTACATAATACCTCATCTCAGAAATATAGACAGATACTGGAAGGCCGAAACGTTGTACTAAATATGGCGACAAAGATGGGGACAATAGACCGAATAATGTAAATAGTGTACATAATACCTCATCTCAGAAATATAGACAGATCAAAATTTAAAAAAAGAGACGCTCCTTCGTAAGCCTGTTTCTAGATATTCGTAACTTCTTTTTTACTAGCATTTTTCCATGTCGTCAATATAGTTAAATTTCACAGAATAATTTTAATGATAAGACAAATTGGTTTTAAAATGTCAATTGGAAAATAATTCTTAGTTCTAACTTTGAAATATGAATTTTAATATAAAACAAAAAAAAATACCGATATATCGAAATGCATTAAAAATACACATAAAATTCCAATTTAACCATTTCAATGAAGTCGCCATGTCTGACTTGAAATTGGTTCCAGTAAACATGAGAACCATATTATTTTATTATATTATTTTTCTGAGGACTTTCGAATATTATTACCTTCGTTTTGAAGAATTGTGTTTTGTGTATATTTACGCAACAGCTTCTTTTTTTTTAATTCCCCCGTTTGCATATTTAATGGAACTAATTTCAAGTCACATAAACGGTGTATTTTAGAAAGTCTGGGAGATAGAAAAACAGAAAAAAATTAATTAATATTAACTGACATCTAAAGAAAACTGCTTTTTTAGATCTGTATTCAAGTTCTGTGAAGCCGTTCTGTCCTCGATGCACCTGTGTATTTAAATATGAAATATAGCATTACAAAAATGTCATGATTAAAAACTGACAAACTATTCTCTATGATAATGACAACATTAAATCCCTTACAATGTCCAGGATGTTCGAATGGACGTTCCAATGGACTCGAACAAAAATATTAACTTTGTACATTGTCTTCAAAAATTTGATCCACAACTAGTCAATGAAATTTTAATAAAAATTATATCTTGTCGACTGATTTTAATAAAACTTGCTCGATTTAAATTGGCTGCTTAAATATACTATATATATATATATATATATATATATATATATATATATATATATAAATTGGAAATGGAAAATTTGTTCTGTTTAATGAAAATAAACATTGAGCAGTCTTTTCAGAGTCAATTTTAACATATTTCAAATTCTATGTTATGTTAATAGGACTCGCCTGGATTATACGAATGAAATACTACACACACACACACACACACACACACACACACACACACACACACATATATATATATATATATATGTGTGTGTGTGTGTGTAATCCCTTTATATAATCCAGGCGAGTCCTATTGACACAACATAGAATTTGAAATATGTTAAAACTGACTCACACAAGAGCGCTCAATGTTTATTTTCATTAAACAGAACACATTTTACATTTCTAATATATATATATATATATATATATATATATATATATATATATATATATATATAACCAGACAATTTAAATCGAACAAATTTTATTAAAATCAGTGGATAAGGTATAACCGAATAAGTTTTATTAAAATTTCATTGACTAGCAAGTTGTTGTGGATCAAATTTATATATATATATATATATATATATATATATATATATATATATATATATATAGTGCAATGTATAAATTGTCGCCATTTTATATTTTTAATTTCGCTCATACACGTTATTTGTTTTTGTTTTTGTCGACTGCACAATGTCGTAGGAACGATTGGGCGCCGTCTGTGAGAAAAAAGACCACCATGACGCACTTCACTCCAACACAAATTTGGAAACGGTATAATAACTGCTTGGCATTCGCACCGGAAGATCCAATACGATCATTTCAACCTGAGGAGAATGCAGAGGGTTCGGAAAGAGTTGGATCAGACGTTTGGTGATTACGAAAGTGTTTGGAGTGGTCGCTACTGATGGCAACCTTATGCCTCTATCCAATTTCCCACAGGGGCGCAGACTCAACACGGAAGCCTATATCTAGTGAGCTGAGTGAAAAGGTTGGCTGCTAGAAGACCCTATATCTGGTTACAGGACTCTGCCCCATGCCTCACAAGCAAGAGAACCCAGTCATGCCTATCTGACAATTTCTGCGGCGACATCACCCTTTACTTCTCGTTATATAACTCCCCAAACTGCAACCCGCTGTGGGGTGCAGTTTAGCGAGAGACCAACAAAATTCCTTGTAACACGAAAGATAAATTTTAGGCAAGTATTATGGCAGCATTTACCAACTTAAACAAGGACACCGTTCTGAAGAGTTGCAGAAGATTCCGAAGTCGTCTGGAGGCCGTGGTTGAAGCCAATGGCGATTTTATTGAATAAATTTACTCTTTAGTATTTCAAGAGAGTTTTGTGTAATTTTGGTAAATATATCTGTTAAAATGAAATGTCAGTTTTATTTTCATTTTTGCGTCATTTAGACGATAATTTATCCATCAGGACATAGGCGATTATGGCTCTCCACTTACCCCTATCTCTTGTGGCTCTTAATAAGTTTTATCTCTTTACTACTTCCTCCGGGTCATCAACTTGCTTAAGCCCGCTAGGTATGTTATACATTGCTTTCCCTTATCTCTTTTTCCCTCTATTCGACCTGTGGGTATCAGATTCTCCAAGCCATCTTTTCCTTATTACGTGTCCTAGAAATTTGAGCTGCCTCTTCCTGATGTTAAGTATAAGATTCCTCCTTTTTACCCCCCCAAAAAAAAAAACGATCGGTCCATGATATCCTTAGTCAGCCAAATAACATAAGAATAGTTGTAGCTGAAGGATGGCACACAAGTCGATATTTGATTGGTATCGATCGTGTCACCGTAAAGAAGAGGAATGATCTTGTAAGACCCGAAAGCACTAACAATTACCAACATTAGTGACGATGTGTTTCAAAGCATTAAAAAGATGATTTCACAAAAATGATACGAGAAAATTTCTAGTCAAAATTAAAAAATGAATAATAGTTCATAGAATAAACTTGACAATTTGTACAAACAAGAGATTTTAAACAATAATTTTGGGGGTTTGGTTTTTGTTTAACGGCATATCAACCTTAATTCCGAGAAAATTATTATTGTTGGTAATATTTTTTTTTTTTCAAAAATCTATTTCTGGGAATATTTTCCCTTGATCTGTTTGTATTGTTGTTTTTTTTTGTTTTGTTTTTTTTTAATTATTGCTGATAAAAAATTTTCCTTCAAAAATTATTGCTGGTAATAATTTCTTTTATTAGAAAGTATTACTGGTATTAAAACCTATTTTTACCCAAGTTTGGGTGTTAACTATTTACTGGGATCCTAACAGGTGCTACCACCCCGGGTTAGGGTGGATCTGGGAACACCAGCAATTAAAAGGTGGTTCCACGCTCCTCAAAACCTCCTGATGAGAGGCCTTGCTGTTGGACGTAGTTTATCGTCTTAACCAGGACGCGGATGTAGTTTATCGTCATACCCAGGACGAATTTTAAACAATAAGCGACTTTTCACATCGCGAAATATTTGCCCTTATCGGATTTTTTTATTATTTTCATAAATCAATTTCCTACGAAATTATCTGATACCATCTTAAACGAAGTCAAAATTTCCGATAGCAATCCTCAAAACATATAAAAACGGAGAGCTGTCAAGAAGTTAAAATTTATTAGAGACGTCATTTTGTATATGGACACAAAATCAGTGTTTCTTCCGGCATGATATCTATGTGGCGAGTCGAAGCAACTTTTTAGAGTAGGTTCGGAGAAAAATTAATCACATCCCTTCTCTTGCTATCCGACATGTTTCTTTAGGATGTGGACGATCATAGTTTCCACGGTTTCCATTTATTTATTTACTTACCAATATCCTCGTAGCAATCTGAAAGTGATCCATATTATTTATTTTTATAGAAACAGAAAACGCACGTGCGTACGCGCGAGCACACACACACATACATATATGTTTTACTTTTCCATGTCGACATATTGTTAAATTTTTCAGAATAATTCTGATGATAAGACAATTTGGATAAAAAGAAGACAATTGGAAAAAATATTTCTTGGTCATTGGCGACGCGTTTCATCATTCCGATTTTATTAAGGCAAGTTTAAAAGCGAAATGTTTTGTAGTTAAATCAAATTCAAAATATTAAAAAGGGAACGTTTGGATATTGTTAATTTTTTTTACTAATATATATATATATATATATATATATATATATATATATATATATATATATATATATATATATACATATATATATATATATATATATATATATATATGAAATAATTGTGTCAGAAGAAAGAAAGAAAGAGTATGACACAGAACACCGATTAAAGAGAGAGAGATACTAAATTGGAAAGAAAAAAAGAATGAATCAATCAATCAAGGGAAGAGTATAAACGAGGAAGAAAGAAAAAAAGAAAAATAATTGAAACAATAGAAAAGTGTAAACTGGAAAGAAAGAAAGAAAGAAAGAAAGAAAGAAAGAAAGAAAGAAAGAAAGAAAGAAAGAAAGGGTATGACACAGAACACAGAATAAAGAGAAAAAGATAAACTGGAAAGAAAGAAAGAAAGAAAGAAAGAAAGAAAGAAAGAAAGAAAGAAAGAAAGAAAGAAAGAAAGAAAGAATGAAACAAAGGAAGAACATAAACGGGTAAGAAAGAAAAAAGATAAATTATTGAAACAGGGGAAAAGAATGAACGAACGAACGAACGAACGAAAGAAAGAAAGAAAGAAAGAAAGAAAGAAAGAAAGAAAGAAAGAAAGAAAGAAAGAAAGAGTGTGACACGGAACGCAGAATAAAGAGGGAAAGATAGATTGGAAAGAAAGAAAGAAAGAAAGAAAGAAAGAAAGAAAGAAAGAAAGAAAAATGGATGAAAGAAGGGGAAGAGAATAAACTCGAAAGAGAGAAACAAAGAAAGAAAGAAAGTATAATGACGTAAAGTGAAAGGAAAGAAGAAAGAAGAAAAGAATTAAAACATGAATGAAACAAGAAATTGAAAATATTCTAGGTAAAATAAAATGCAAATTCCTTTGTTTAATTCTTATTTTTCGTCATTCGCTCTGATATTCAAGTAGCTATTTGGAGGTCGTATAGTTGAAATCAAGTCTATTGGGCAAAACTGAGAAACGCATTAACCTTACCAACATATACTAGGTTCAAATGCAGTTAATACTAAAACCGAAATGGCTTTATCTAATCTTTTTCATCCTACTTCCAGAATTATTCGTATAAATTAAAATTTTGATTTATTTGCTTAGTAAAATATATCCTTGGTTTTATGGGTTGCATAAACAGATTACGAAGAATTTTATGTTGGCTAATGAAAAGAAGAAAACGAAAAATACAGAAAGAAAGAAATGAAGAAATCAGACGATAATCAGTAAACGAAAATGGCTGCAATGTAAACGTGAAAATCGATCAACATATATAAATAAAAAGAAACGAATAAATCTGAGAGAATGGATAAAAGAAGGAAATATCTTTTAAAAGTGATAAAGATAGAATAAAACTAAACCGAATATTTTTTTATCAAATGTATTGAACAAGATTGTACAAACTGAAATATTCTTTGACTGTACGTACATATCGTTTGCCCGAACTCTTGAATTTTTTAAAAATCCTTTCTTTAGAGTGAGGAACTCTTTGGTGATAACAAGGATAATCCTGATTAAATCTCCTTTGTCAGATCCCAATAATTGATATCGTTCAAAACCTTTCATTTAGTCTTCTTTTCTTTACTGATTTTTTTTTAAAAATTCGCATCGCTTGAGATCTCCACATCAATAAAAATCGCTGACTTTTGCATCCTTTTCGAAGACATTATTTATTCAATCGATCAAAAAATGTACTGTCTGCGTTTTTAGTATTTTTCATCCAACAATTATTTCACTGCTGACCTTTGTGGCGACGTGAGGGACATTTTTAAAAACCAGTGCATTGACACTTTAAATTTAAGAACCTTTATTAAGTGACCTGTGTACATATCTTGCGTTTTGTTTTTTGCTATTTGTTTTTTGGGGCTTTTTTTTTTGTATATTTATGTCAGTGAACATCGGATATTAATCCCGAACTTTTTTAATACCATTAACTTATGTAGCATTTTTTGAACAACGTTCGATAACAATACAGCACTCATTCAAATGCAGATTGGACACCTCAACGTGGTGTAATGGTTAGCAAGCTTGGCTCGTTAGCACAATTACAACTGAATAATGAGTTCGATCCTCACTGGGTGCCCCATACTTTCGGCCTTGTGCTACATCTAATCTACGGTTAGAAAATCACCATTCATATATAAATTTATTGTTTATTCATTTATCGACGGTATGTGGTTTTTAAGAAAAGTTCGAACATTCGATCTTAGCCATTTAAGGATATGAAGAATTCACCGTTCTCCTTTCGCGGATCGGGCGTTTATACAACTACCTCTCATTTGATTGTCTAGTGCACGTATAACTTAAGTCCAGTTGGGTTTATGACGGCTAATATTCTGACCTACATCGAGGCCCGTTTCTGCTCATGGTGGAAATAGTCATCTTCTAGGTAAACACGGGAGTCACGGTGGAGTAATGGATAGCGGCTCGGATCGAGGAAAGACATGGACCCTCTTCTTCTCCCGCATCTAAGGGTAAATAGCAAAGCAGACTGGGTTCTATAACTTTGGTTGGTGATGTAGTGGAATAACCAGTCACCCCCATGAATAATTACATTATAGGTAGTAAGTACCTATAAACTCAACCGTTCACGAGAGACTTGAGGAAGAGTGAGCGTGAGAAGACGCAAGCACATCCGACCTTCCAATTAGTGGCACTCACTACTAGACTGACCTGTGTGTATAACAGTACCGTATTTCATATTGTACTGGTTGTGTACAATAAACCTTTCTTCTATTATCCACCTGGTGTTAAGTATTTATTCCCTTAGCACGGAATATAACAGGTGGCAGCCGGTCTAGGAGGAAAAACTGTATTCAAAACCGGCGTGGAGACGTTTGGGCTCCTTCAAGCTATCTTGCTCCGTCAGGCTATCTTGGGGCTGCAGTACACATTGTGCCCGACTATAACGGGATGTTAAAAAGGTAAACACCTTGAATCCAAATCAATACTGTGAACAAAACTCAACATCGTGCATGGAAGACCAACGTCCTCTACAAAATGTCCGAAATAAATATTTCCAAAATAGAAACTATGATCTTGAATTGGAATCGGATCAGTGATAGTACGTAATTTGAGTCCATCATAAAAAATTAAGGATGTAGAATTAGTAAATACTAAATATTTCAAATACCTAGATGTAGAGATCAGTTAAATTTAGCGTGGGTTGTACGAAAATTTAACATAGAATAGACTGCGCGAGGGTTAGTTTTTCTCAACAACGCAAATTGCTACAAAACCTGAAAATACGAGTCATGTTCTTAAATAATCTCATCAGATCGAGTCTTTGATATGGATGTCAAGCATGGTGCCAGACCCGTTCAGAAATCTCTACACGCTCAGCTGTACACAACTTCTTTCTATGATCCATGTTTAAAAAGGTTCGTTTGCGAACGAAGCTTGCGGATAAAGATGAACTTTGCGGGTTGGTGCTAACGAATCACAAAAAAAAGGGACTGTACCAAATAGCAGAAGCCACATCACTTGAGGACTTTCAAAAAATCAAAATCTAAAATGGATATCACATGGAACCAGAAAATAAAGACATAACCAATATTTGGATGTTCCACACTACTTCAAACAAAAGTTTAGGAAGGAAACCGCCATCAATACTAGGAAATGCGATAACACTTACTGGACTTGAGAAACCGATTTTCTTGAAAAATTGTTTTAAGTAGAAAGATTTTATACATTTCAACCGACTAGTAGTACGTATTGCTGTGCCAATGTCCGAAAAATATTTCCTTATAAGGAGACGTCTATATATCACCATTAAGATTAACCTTGGGGCACCTACTGTTTTTGATATTCTGTGGTGTCAACACGTACTAGGGTGTCACCGATTACTTTATTTATTTCGAAGTAAGAAGCTGTTATATGGGAATACAGTGTCGCTGCCGACACTGGAGTTTGAACTTAGATCGCCAGTGAGCAAACACAGGCGATCCTATTATTATATTAAGTAGCTCACGTGACTGTAGAGGAAACGGATATATGGGAGGTAGCGTGAAGTCTAACTGATCGCTATTTCTAGTCTATCCTCTATTAATATACTGACCGCTATTCTCTACTCTATTCACTATACTATTTTTCTATTCAGACTATTTTACGGGCTACATGTCTAGCGAGTATTATCGAGCAAGTATTAATAGTGCGAGTGTTATTCGAAGGCGTCTGACACCAGTATTGTTCAACGGCGTTACTATAGTTGTATCTGCGATTACAAAGTCTCTAATACAACATTACAAAAGTGACAACGCGTATTCGTTGACATTATAAAAGTGTTAACGAGTGTTCGTTGACATCACAAAAGAATCCCGTATTAAATTTCTTAGTAATTATTAAATTTACTAGAGATAATGAAAGAGCAATTGCCTGTTAATGTTCCAAATTCTTTTTAGGGTTTTATTCTTAACTGCAACGGAAATGCGAGTGGGCTAACGGTTAACTGGGCGAAAAAGGGAATTAGCTAACCGAGTTCAAATTATGGATAAGGCATTCTTTTGTTCACTTAGTAATATTAGCTTTAGAAAAGATATCAGTCTATTTCTCATTTTTCTCCTGCATTTAATACCAGGGTATTTGGAATTCTATAAAGTCGGTTACAAGTCTCAAAAGACAATTTTGTATTCAAAAAGGTGGGAAAAAAACAACACGAAATGACTCTACAATAATTCCCAAAACCAATTACCGTATATGCTCGTATATAAGTCGATTTCACATATAGTGCGAATCTTTTGTGAAATACCTGATTTTTTTTTTCATATAGCTCGTGTTATAATGTAACCCCAGCTTCTGAGCAATACTAGTGATTCTACTGTAGTAAAATATTGCAAACCTCGACATCAACTTAGACATATTTTATAGTAAATAAATGGTCTTCATACATTTTTTGCACAAAACGACCCAAAAATAGTTAGAAAACCTACTTACTTTAAAATGTGTGATAGGAATATTTAGATTGCATAGTTTTGTTTCCGGTTTAGCTCATGCATATTTTATATTCATTCTTTTTTTGTACAAAGGCTACCCCAAAATGGTGAGAAAAACCACTTACTGTAAAATATCTGATACAAAGATTTAGATGCCATACTTTTGTATTCATTCATGTCTGACTACGGTAGCTCCTTTAACCTAGGCCTGCCTCCTACATAGTCTAAGTTTATTCCATTTTGTTACTATATCAAGAACAAGACATCATCTACTATGTATGCCAAATAAAATTAACAAATTTTTAACCTCTTCATAAAATTACCTGTATATAGTGTGATCGCCTGTTATTATTTTTTATGTGTATGTGTGTAAAAATTGATCACACAAAAACTCGTATTAATCTAGTTTATACAAGATATCTAAAAAGTAACAATCAGATGATGGAGCAAAATTATTAACAAAGTAAGCGGAAATGTTATATCTAAAAAGGAAGAATATTGCAGAACTGGGTATAATCTTGGACATAAAATAAATAGTCTTCGTTCTTTCTGGTACAAAGCTACCCCAAAATAGTAAGCAAACAAAGATATAGATACAAAACTTCTGTCTCCGTTCATGCCTGATTTTTGACGTCATCCAAAATTACATGTTTATAGTGCAACCCCCCCTTATGTTTTGCTTAAAAAGAACTGATAATTAACACTCGCCCTACACTCGATGATGTGGAGAGCCACGACTTGAATGTAAATACGATATAAGTAATTTCTTTAAAACTCGTTTCCAGTGCCGCAGTCACTAATAAGTATTTTCTTATGCATTTATACGGAACTAAAATAATAAAATACGCTTCTTTATACAACTTTCTTTTGTGTAAACAAATAAAATCCATTTGTCTTGCAAAAGCACGTCATTGACCCTCGTTTGTCGCCCTATGGCTTTAGTACTGCGAGCGTCTTCCCTTCTGTAGTTTGATATTTCTAAAACCAATTAAAACAAAGAATCGCAAGCTGTTGTGTAATATTCTTTCGTCTTTTCTCTTTACATAGAGTCGGTATATTTTTGTTCCTGGTGATAAATGAGTACTTTTATTTGGTGATCATAGGTGAAATTACTGTGCGATTTGCAATTGATTAATTTTTTTCTTTCTATTCGCTGAATATATATGGCGTTACTGAGACATTCCAATTTGAATATTGATGCTTTTATTGCGTTCGTATCTACTAACTCTGAAAAGTTTTCTCATATTTCACTGCAGACTTGTCTGCAGTTTGTCTTTATATTAAGGAAGATTGCCACACGAATACATCCACAGACAAAAATACAGAGACAAACTCTTTAGCACTCTTTCTCTTTCTTTTTTGTCTTTCACTCTATGCACCTATCTGTACACATACACAGATATTACTCTATACACATATATGCCACACAGGTATATTTTCATACATGTATATACAGACTCTTTCTCTCTTTATCCCTTTGTGTTTATTTCTCTGGCTTTTTATTTTAATTTTTTCAAGTACAATCTTTTATTACTGTCACACACACACACACACACACACACACACACACACACACATATATATATATATATATATATATATATATATATATATATATATATATATATATATATATATATATATATATATATATATATATATACCGAGTGTAACAGCAAAATTGTCCAAATCGTGTAACAGTGTGGGATAATTGTCGATCCCACAAAATATTTAATATCTAAAAGGACCAGTAAACTAATTCAGTTTCCTTTTTCCAAGTCTTCAAACAAGTCGTTTAGCCATCCTTATAGTATTTGTCGTAAGAATCACTGACAAGTTTTTCGGCTAGAAAGAGAACAAGTTCAAATAGTTCTGTGTCAGCCCCACTATGTCAATGGTGAAATGAAAAAGATCAATCAGGCCTTCAATGATGATTCCATCTTCAAAGTTCTTTCGAGAACCAATCAAGAGAACGGTTAATAAGTTTGTTTTTTTTTAAAAAAGAGGGAACATTAGAAAGGAAAAATAGATCACGAGATCTCAACAGAAAGAGCGATCATTGTTTCAACTTAGAACGAAAGATATCAATTAGAAAAACTCCGACACAATTCATGAGACGTTTAGTACGTGAAATGTAATGCATTCGACTGGAATTCGAACTCGGCTCTCCGATTCCTCAATCCAAGCCGCTATCCATTACTCTACCGTGCCTCCTTGGTTGGCAATCCATTTAGTGATGGTGTCACGATAAAAACACTCTTGATAGCCCTAGCGAAGCATCAAAAATTCAGCTATTTGACAATCAAAGTATTGGTGAGTTCAATCTCGGCTGAGGCCGCAAGATGATGTACGGGAAAGAAACGTTTCAGCTATGACATTCCAAGGGGTAGTGAAAAAAAGACTTGAAAATGAAATCATACGTGAAACCTGTGAGGCACCTTGTTTCTGCAGGACAGAAAGTTAGAAGGTGAGAGAGGACGAAGACCACCTTAAATAAGTTGGAAAACGATCCCGGAATATATATATATATATATATATTTATATATATATATATATGAACTTTATTTCAATCCTTCATTAGAGGCCGATCATTAGCTATGACTAATTAATGAGGAACATATCATTTTTGTTTATGATCTTTTTCATCACAATGCTTCTTTTAAGCTTAGAGAGTAATTATGCATTCTTATTCTTGAAAGAATATTCCAATAGTTTTATAAAAACCTCGAAGAATCCCAGTAAGATATCTTTAATCATTTCTAAGACACAAAGTTTCAAAGCTTAATCTAACAATTGGACAACTTTTCTGTTATATATATATATATATATATATATATATATATATATATATATATATATATATATATATATATATATATATATATGATAAAAATATAGTTTTAATTTAATGTATGTTACATTCATGCGTAAACGGGACCAAAATATTATATCTTTTAAGCATGAGAGTTGAGTTAATGGGAAATAACTGAGATATCCGGGAGAGGCGTGGCACGTGGATCTAGAATAATCTTCACTTGTGGACGAAATAAAGGGTTCGGTTCGAAATTCCAATCAGCTAAAGAAGGACGGAGCGGATAACGGCCGAAATGTTGTGAATATGGCAATGAAAATGCAGATAACAGTCCGATCTAACATTGTTTGATTCAGATCCCACTGGTTTCTGTGAGTCTTTTCTTAACCTAGGATGAGTGTTGGCTTCATCCCTTTGTAACAAAGACTATCCAGGGAATGGAAACTTTCCTTCTCACGTTCTGTTTTGTTTTCAATTGTTCAAATATCCAACACTGTGTCATTAGGTGACGGGATGAATTGAGATAGACCTTCATTTAGACAGATAATTTTCTTTTAGGAATGTCTAATGAAATAAATCACAAACATTATGCCTGATTATTTTTAGCATAATCTTTTCATATTCCCGAATATTTTTTCCGTGTATTTTATTTGATAAATGAGGCAAGTAATGCACTGTAACAATTAAAATCACTATTATTTCCCCAAGTACTTTCCATCTCTTTCTGGGAAAGAAAACTGATTTTCACTGTTACAGTGCATTTCTTGACTAGTTTGATTGTAAGCTGTTGTAGCCTGGTATTCAACTCACAACTTTTTAGGTCTAGCCACTGAATCTAACCAACGTCTTTATCAAGCAGTAGTGAATAAAAATGGGAGATAACTGAGTCATCCTGAACGAAATAAAGGGGTAGGTTCGAAATTCGAATATCCTGAAGAATGCCGGGGCGTACAACGGCCGAAATGTTGTGAATATGGCAATGGAGATGAGGATAACAGTTCGAATAGTTTAAATAATGTAAATAATCATAATACCTCATCTCAGAGATACAGACAGATGTTTGTCGCTAGTCACTGGATGTAACCAACGTCTTTATCCAACGACCGAAACGTTGTGAATATGGCAATGAAGATGAGGATAACAGTCCGAATAATGTAAATAATGCAACTAATCATAATACCCCATCTGAGAGACAAAGAGACCGAAACGTTGTGAATATGGCAATGAAGATGAGGATAACAGTGCAAATAATGTAAATAATGCAAATAATCATAATACGTCATCTCAGAGATATACACAGACGTTTGGGTCTATTCACTGGATATAACCAAAGTCTTTATCCAACGATCGAAACGTTGTGAATATGGCAATGAAGATGAGGATAACAGCACGAATAATGCAAATAATCATAATACCTCATCTCAGAGATAAAGACAGATATTATATTTTCTCGTGTCTCATCAGTTTAGTTCGTCTTGCCCAAGTTCACTAGGCAGAACATTCTCAACCCTCTCACGGGACATACTAATTATATTGGTTATTTGATGTTAATCAATCCTCCTGGTGGTGAATACGATCAATGTTTTCCTTGTTATTGGTACTTACAGGATTTCAAAACATTAGGTCATCTTCAAACTCTCCCCCGCTTCTAAATAGAGAAGCCCCACTTTGGCACTGTGGATAAGGCTGGGGAGGTGAGCAACCACTTCAGAATGAATCCGCCCGGCAGCTACACCCTATTTCTGTAGGTTCTTGACTCAAAATTTTGTCCATTTTCAATAAAAGTCGCTACTAGTTATTTTATTTTAGTGACTCATTCCTAGTCAGCCTATGAACTTTTCAGCCCAACTTCGTACCTGGAAAGAAACAATGTAAATCTTATCAAATCGAGTTGAAATTAGTGCAAGCAAAATTTCACAGCTCAGCATCACTCCTTCATAGTCAGCCTATGAACTTTTCAGTCCAACTTCGTACCTGGAAAGAAACAATGTAATTCTTATCAAGGCGAATTGAAATTAGTGCAGGCAACATTTCACAGTTCTAGCATCACTCCTTCATAGTCAACCAATGAATCTTTCAGCCCAACCTCGTACCTGAAAAAGAATAATCAAATTCTTAATAACAGTTGAAAGATTTCACAGTTCTAGCATCTCTTCTTCATTGTCAGCCTATGAACTTTTCAGTTCACCGTCGTGTGTTATCACCTTAACCATTACTTCGTTATATGATGCCCGGATGGAAGTAAATATTACCTTTTGTGTCGATAGAATAATTATATGCGTCCGGTGTTTATTTCTTTCTGCCCGACTCTTTCATTTTATTTACAAACTACGTTATAGACCTTTGAGCCATCCTGTCGCCGTGGCATTAAGATCTGCCCAGACTTTAATGGGGAAATACTTATTTTCTATTCTAATCTTCTTTGCCGACTTTCATATTCTTTTTCTGTTATTGTTTTCTATTTTATTCGTTTTGATCTCTCTTGTTCCTTTTGTATAATTCGCATTGTCTTTTATTTGCTTCTCCTTTTTCTGTTTTTGTTTCTCTCTTTTTCTATTTTCCTTCTTCTTTATTTCTTTACTAACTTTTTTTTCCCTTTCATCTTCGGTTTTTATTTATTTATTTATTTATTTATTTTTTTGATTTTCTTTTTTTCTTACCTTCTTAACTTTCTTTCTTTCTTTTGTCGTCGTTTCGGACAATTTAACAGGAAGAATCTTCGTTTTCTTTCTTTCTTTTTTTCCATTTTTTTTCTTCTTATTCTTTTTTCTTTTCTTTTTTCGCTCCTTTCTTTTCTTTCTTTTTTTCATTCTCCTCTTTCTTTCTTCCCATCTTTTGTAGCGCTTAACAGTGTTTATCATTATACTATATTTCTCGGTCCCTTTTGTACCATTTTGCATGTTTGTTGCTGTTTCATTTTCTTCCTCTTGGCTTCAATATTTCCTGAGAATGTCAAATTTTCCAAGCATTCTTTATTAGAAATATCAATTTCTTCCTTCTGATTCTATGTCTAATTCTTCAACTTCATTTTCCTTAAAATTTCCTCATTGCTTACATGTTCCAGCCGTGGAATTGTCAAAATTCTTCTGTAGAACTACCTCTTAGTAGACTCTAGTCTTCCCTTCTTCTGTAAGATGACCGACATTCACGGCCATATAGGAGATATTGATATTACATCGCGTTTTCATTTTTTTTTTAATATCTGTCTATATCTCTCAGATGAGGTATTATGATTACTTGCATTATTTACATTATTCGGACTGTTATCCTCATCTTCATTGCCATATTCACAACAATTCGGCTGGCATACGCGCCGGTCTTCTTCAGGTGATGAGAAGTTCGAACCGAACGCTTTATTTCGTACACCTACCTAGACTGATCTAGTTCTACGTGCCATGCATCTTTCACATGTTTTTGTTGTTACCCTTTAACTCATCTCTCCATGATTTGGTTCACATGTGGCCTGGTATTAAACTCACTGTTCTTTGAGTCTAATCACTGGATCTAACAAAATACTACCAGCTGACAAAGGCAATGCGACCGTAGTGATTGACAAATCGGAATATACAGAAAAACTAGAAGACCTCATCGCGAATGATAACTACAGTAAAGTAAGATCCTGCAACGAAAACAGAACGTAAACTCTCACAGGTCCTAATCAAGACAAGGACCACTTCGCACCTAAGACATAGCAGGCAGATGTCACAGCTTTACACCAAGCTACCTTTATATACGATCTTCCAAATATTCACCAAGACGGTGTTCCGCTCAGACCGACTGTTAGCTGCCAAGGCTCTCTGTGTCACCCTCTGAGTCGCTTACTAGTAAATATAATCAACACATTAATCAGAAAGTCGCAGTCCGGAACTCCGCCCACTTTGTGAAAACAAGCAAGAGGATCCCATCCAATGCTACCAGACGGTGAGCCTGGAGGTGGTGAGTTTACTCACTAAGGTACTCACGGATGAGGGACTATCGGTAGACTAACCCCAGACTCCTTCCTAGGAGAACGCACCAGTATACCAATAGATAACCTGATGTAGATAGACTTTTTGTACAAAAACAACATACTTCAGAATGGGGTCAGATATATATCGGAGTGTATAACGGCCGAAACATTTTGAATATCGCAATGAAAATAACAGTCCGAATAATGTAAATAATGCAAATAATCATAATACCTCATCTTAGAGATATAGGTGTCGAAACGTTGTGAATATGGCAATGAAGATGAAGATAACAATTCGAATAATGTAAATAATGCAAATAATTATAATACCTCATCTCAGAGATATAGGGGCCGAAACTTTGTGAATATATATATCTCAGCGTACAACGGCCGAAATATTTTGAATATGGCAATGAAGATAACAGTCCGAATAATGTGAATAATGGAAATAATCATAATACCTCATCTCAGAGATATAGGGGCGGAAATATTTTGAATATGGCAATGAAGATAACAGTCCGAATAATGTGAATAATGGAAATAATCATAATACCTCATCTCAGAGATATAGGGGCGGAAATCTTGTGAATATGGCAATGAAGATGAGGATAACAGTCCCAATAAATATAAATAATGTAAGTAATCATGATACCTCATCTCAGAGATATAGAGGCCAAAACATTGTGAATATAGCAATGAAGATGACGATAACAGTCTGAATAATGTAAATAATGCAAGTAATTCTTTTCTTTGTTTCGAACAAAATCTTTCTGCTGTCCTAACAAACTGTTTTGTTTTTGGAAGGCATCATTTGCTATTCCAATGAGGTTTCGAATTTTGGTGAACCATCTCCCGTCATTTGTTAAAACATTTCGTGTTTTAATCTTCAGGACTTGTTTGATAGTAGTTTATTTTGTTTTACGGCATATCAACAACCTCAATGGGTTATTTAATTTTTATTGCTGGTAATACTTATTTTTCAAAAATGTATTCCTGATATTAAAATCGATTTTTATACTTTGATAGTGTTTTGACACCAGTTTGGGGGTTGACTATTTGTCCATAGTTGGGACCTTAACAGGTGCTACCACCCCGGGTCAGGGTGGACCTGGGAACACCAGCCAGTAAGAAATGATTCCACGATCCTAAAAACCTCCTGATCAGTGCCTTGCTGTTGGACGTAGTTTATCGTCTTACCCTGGACGCTTCAATAGTGGTTAATAATGGGAGAAGTAGTGTAGATAATGCATTCAATTATACTTTCATCTACTAAATAAGTAGTTCATGTTCCAGAGATTTTAGAAGGTGCGTGCTTAAATCTCGTTTGATTCTAATTCATTATATCCAGTCCAATATGCTTATTTAACGGCCGTAGAATAAAAAAAAGACCTGAACTTTGCTATAAATGACATCTATATTATGAAAGCTAATAGTGAAATTCGTCTTTCGCTTATCGATCGTGGCTAAATCTCGAGTTCGAGGATGAAGGTCTTGTTTTGTTTTCCTCAGTCAGTTGGGTTTGTAGACTCTAAGATAGCTAATGAGACTGGTTTTTGCTTGAATAGTTCCTCGACATTGAGGAAAGGTTGTTCCGGATAGCGGGTTAGGCCTTGGTTGTCAGGGATAGATTGGCTTCGGACTCCTCCCAAGGAGAACGAACCAGTATACAAATAGATAACCTTATGGAGATGCTGACTTTCTTTCTTTTAGACGTTTTCTTTTTTCTCTCTCGTTCGATGATCATTTGGATTTGAAGATTGCCTTCTGTCTATGACAATGGATCTCCAGAGATTCTTGTCCATTGCACTGGATTCCCATTTTTGATGTCGATGTCACATTTCTAAATATTTCGTTTTAGAACGTCATTTTATCTTTATAGAGAGAGTATCGAAGGAACAGAAGACTAGATAGGGAAAAACATAGAAATACTCATACATAGGATCTAACTAATGCCTTTATCCATTGTGCCATGTGTCACAAGGTAGATCCAGTGACAGGACCCAAAGAGTGTGAGTTCAATACCCGGTTAAGGCAGTGGAGAATTTTCAGAGGGAAATTAACAGGAGATAACTGATAACTGACATCCATTAAACACGGCACGTGGAACTAGAACAGCGAAATAAAGGGTTCAGTTCCACATTCCAACCACCTGAAGAAGGCCGGAGCTTACAACGGCCGAAACGTTGTAATAAATACGGCGACAAAGATGAGGACAATAGTTCGAATAATGTAAATAGAGTAGAACTTGTATTCGGAAAAATCATTTTTATTCTCAAAAACTGATAATGCAGTATTCACTCGTAAAAAAAGAAATTATTCTTACGATCCAAAATATATATTTCGCTTAAAAAAAGCCCCACACAGAGGGTTGATAAGTCGTAAAAAATCAAATCAATCAATCTTACGAACTTGTTTTTATTTGTGTCGACCGTTAACAACAAGATTATATCATTGTTTTACTTCTAATTTCATGAGCTACCATACTTTTTTATGCTTTTGTTGATGAATATCTTCAAGTCATTTCTTCTATTTGATGTGGTCTTTAGCATTTATGCAAGTTTATAGCAATAGTTACAAGCAGTTTAAATAGTTTGGATTGCCAAAAGACAATCAAAGAATTCGTGTGCATCAGGTAGTTTACAACGACCGCCGAATGGTAAAGCTTGTGACCTCACACCTGCAACAGCTTTGTAGTGGTGTGAAAAACTTTGTGTTGCACTCATTTATAGCAATGGTCGCTCCTGTCAGGGGTGACTAGTTTCACACACATCGCAGACAGAATGTAGGGTCCACGTACCGAAGAATGGGTTCCGTTTCCCGTAGTTTTGTGTTATCGTTTACTCGGCGCCCCCATTCCATTATAGATTGTATGTGAATCAATTTCTATAATGCAATTTCTAACATTGAATATATCTTTTTTTTAAATTATCTCATCAGAAGAAAGGCGAGAATGCCCGAGTAATTAGGAACAAAGGAATAAAAGTGAGGGTGAAAAGAAAGGAAATTTGAGAATAGGGAGGACTGAGGGAAAGAACAAATGATGAAATTCAAGAGGATAGCGATCGACGTTGCCTTTAAATTTTTGAAGATTTTAGTTATAGGGAAAGAAATAAACGGAAGGAAGTTCCACAGGTGGGAAACGCGACAAAATAAACTGTTGGAGTATAAATAGAGTTTTTGTTAAGATACTTCAACAGTAAAAGGGTGGGACCTAAATGCCAATCAAGTAGAAATTCATGTACTCGGGGCACAAGCGAAAAAAAAAGCTTTTTAGAGCAGTTACCATGAAAATATTTGTAGAAATGCCAGAAGGAAGCCATGTCACGTTGGTGAAAAAGTGACTGAAATCGAAACCCCAAGTCAGGATCGATTATATTACAGATCTTTCTTTGGATTGTGTCAAGAACCACGAGATGAATAGCAGGAATACCAGACCAGATATGGCAACAATATCCAATGCACGGATGAATGGTAGATTTGTCAATGTGCAAAATGGATTCTGACGAGAAAAACCTTCTTGCACGACACAGTGACTCAGCATTCCATCCAGTATATTCAGCTGTTGAGTCGATGTAGTTTCTCAACCACAAGTCAGTGCTGATGGCAGGCAGAAAAGGACATCTATGGTGTTTAAATTAAATTAGTTTTGTTTTGGATGCGTTAACATTTACAAGCAATTTCTTGCCCTTGTTAACCACTAATCGAGTTGCATCAATTTCATGATATTAAATATCATTGTTTTTAATGTAGTAGTTTACGAGGAATATATCTAAAATTTAGTAGTCTATACACTCACAGAACCCATTATGATGGCTGTCTATTGGATTCCTAGCATGACCATTTTTCTGAAATGAACGGTTGTATCAATTGCAACATATTAAACAATAT